ATTTTGTGTTTTAATGTTGTCTCACATGTTGTCCCATAATGGCAGCTGAGGGGTGAGGGCAAGAAAAAAAAAATATTACCATTCTGACACTGGGCACCAAAGAATCCATGTGGACAGAGGCAAACATCTGGCTTAGTACAGGAACCACCATTGAGACACACAGGATCACACCTTGCTGCAGAAATAGGACCAGGAAGAGTGGGAAGCATGACATCCAAATAAAGTATATAAAAAAATGTGTGTGTGTTGCAAGGACAGGAACTAAACACCTAAGATAACTGCAGGTAACACCACTCCCACAGAATCTTCACCAAAATTAAAGGATCAGTATAAGACTTCTGAGAGGTGCTGGCAGCAAAACTACATGCAGAGACACGAAGGAGCGCTGGGGCTCTGCTGCAGTAAGCAGCTGCTCATCACTGGTCCCTGAGCCACACAGTTCCAGGTCTCAAACTATGGGAGGTCCTATGGGAGGACACTCTATCAGGAGGGTGAAAGTTGCAGGAGTGTTACCTGTACTGCATGTAGGTCCGTACCACCCAGGTTTACACTGGCACATGTCTGGAGTGAGACATTCACCACCATTTTCACAATGTCTGTTGCAAACCACTAGCATCCAAAAAGTTGGGCAAAAACAAAGGAGAAGGCGGGGGAGGAGATGGGGGTGAGGGGAGAGAAAGAGATATGTTACAAATTATGCTTGATAAATTTTTCAGTTCTTTCCCAAATATCAGCACTGGAAATAACATACCACTAGCTGAAGAGGAATTGCTGAACAGATTAATCGAGTCTTAAACCCATTACAGCTAGCACCAGACAACAAAGTAAATAAAATGTCTTTCCATGCAATTATGCATGATTTAGTTATGTTCAGTAAAAATCTAGAAAAATTCAAAAATATTCTAAAACAAATGGAAAATGTTATACTAAGAGGCAAGTAGTGGATCATGTTGATGGGTTTGATGGACTCCAAGGAAGTTCAGTCGAATGTCTTCCATCACTTCAGCAAGCACTCATAGTGACACGAGACTAACAGGTAAAGACATTTAAGTAGTACATTCAAGTGAATGATATATAAATAGCATGTCTAAATTTGGACTCTCTGAACAATACAAATTACCAGTATGAAATCTAGGCAAACCTTTATAGTCCATTATGTTTTCAAAGTTATGTGCAAATATTATCTAATGTTGAAAAAGCCCAAGTATGGGCTCCTTCAAAGAGGCAGAGGTATTATGTCATTTGCTAGCATTAGACAGAGCGCATCAAAAATTTAAACCATAATTTGCTTTCTTGCTCCTGAAGAACAGAAGTAAACGTTCTGTATTTTGCTCTTTTGCTTACTTGTATTACATCTTGGTCCCACAAAACCATATGGGCAGGTGCAGAGATTTCTGGCCAAACACGTGCCTCCGTTTTGACAGGGTGGTTTACAATGTGCTGCAGATACAGAATTATGTTGTTCAAGAAATCAGCTGCACAAAGATGCTTGGATTGGTCATGCTTTATAAAAAGGAAATGTTAATAACTGACACTGAGCAAAGAACTGGAAATAAAATGAGGAGACATATGCCATGCCTTTTGACAAAAATAATGAGAAGAATTTCATTCCAACAATACACAGTGGTGGCCACTCTGAAAAAAAGAAACCTAACACAATTTCCAGAGAGTACTTCCCACTCTTCAGAACGTTTAGCTTAGAGGCAATTACATTCACCGGTGAAATCCTCTACTTACTGTGAAAGCTAAATTTGTGAATATCCAATCACAAGCAACATTTACAGTGTATATCAAGAAAATTAAGATATACACTAATGTGTTAATTAAGAGTTTGTTAAAGTAAAACTAAAACGAGCACATCTTTTTGCTGTCAGAACGAACAGTCATGGAAGCTGTTCACAGCACCCTTTGGGTATTTATGTATTCAAAAGTAAAAAATATTCTACTTACCTTCCTCACAAGTGGAGCCACTGTATCCTGGTAGACATTCACAGACATTTGGCTTAATGCACTTCCCATGGTTTTTGCAATCAGGTCTGCACAGGGCTGTGCAAAAAAATCAATATCACTCTCCAAATCATTAATTTGTGCATAGGAGTTACCATAGGCAAAATCAAAATGCCATACTCACCAGTCTGACAGTTATAACCAGCATAACCAGGCTTGCATTTACAAATATTGGGTGCCACACACTCCATATTTTTGCCACATGTTTGTCTACATCTTGCTGAAAGGCAATGAAGAAAACAAAGAAAGAAATAAGGAAAATAAAAGTGGCATATCACACAACTGTGTTTTGCCTAACGTAATACACAGATCACAGAGAATCCATTATGTCACTGCCTATAAAATGGAGTTTAATAAACATCAGAAAAATATTTTTAAGTGCATCCATACAACAAAAAGCCTGTAGGCTATGCCAATATTAATAATGAAAGTAAGAAAATTCAATACACTGTGCTTTTCAATGATTATACAGTAACAATGTACTTTCAAATTACAAAGACATCTCAAGATTCTTCTCTTCAAGGCATTTAAGTTCAGTTATTTGTA